CCGGTTTTGGTGTTCCCAACAAATCTGCCCCCCCCCTCCCTCCCCACTAAAATAGGAATGTTTCCAACTCTAGCCCAGCGGATCCATTGACCAGTATACTAGTTTTTCAGACCCACAGGGAAAATAGTTGCTTACCTACTTTGGGGTACTTGGCATCTTCAACGTGCATGGGGTTCGTCGCTCCATCCGGGAGCCGAAGCGGGAGCCTTCGCTCGGTCGCGGAACTCCGAGGCTTGTTCCTGATTTTGAGCGCGCAGCTCTTGATCTACCAGCCCCCTGTCCAGACGAGGGTTTTATCGAACGGGCCGTGGTGTCTTGTTGTTTGGTTGGATCCCCCCCCCCACTAAACAAATGCTGGTTTTTTGAGGTTGGACCCCCCAAAAAAAAAAACAACAAACACATGGATTGGACTAGCCCTTAAGGAACAAGAACAAAAAGACATCGGTTGACCTTTTAGTTTCTCTTTAAAACCACAAACAAGGGTACCCTCAAACAGGACACAAAGATCAAATTGGGTTTCCGAGCCATTTCCCGTCATGAAGATGGATGCATGGATGCATGGATACAAAGGAATTGTCCACCAGATCCCTTGCAAACGGGGAACTGGAAGCTCGACTCTCAAGCACAAGACGACGCTTTCGGGCCTTGCAACTTCGACTCCAAGTACAGAAGCGTGTGTGTTTTGTGTGTGTATCTTTGTGTGTGTGTGCGCGTGTCATGATTGTTGTTGGGAAACATTTTACATTTTTGCTTATTGTGGTTTAGTGGGAAATCCCCACTTAACTGCTAAAAGTCCATGTTTTTGCTCCCCTTCCAACGTCAACCAAGGTGTGTGTGTGTGTGTGCGTCTGTGTGTTTGCTTTCGTTGGCTTTATGATTTCTGCGTGTAATTTGACGGCTCAGCAGACTTCGTTTGAAACACGAGGCTCGCTCAGATGCACCTGGCCGGCTCCGACCGACAAACAGAAAACCTTGAGATGGTGCGAACCAAACGGAGAAAGGCGGGAAGATGCCGAGAAGGTTTTGCAAAACCTCAAAGAGGGGCGCTGTTTGAGACGGAATACTTATCCTCCCAGCGACTAACATGGAGCACAGACATAGAAAGAAATGTGTTCCTCTTGGAAAGGGGCTTTGTGCACAAACCCCATGGTTGGTGGTTTGGTAACCCCTTCAATGTGCATTTGCCACGAGTCTTTCTGAGTTTCCCCAGTTCAACGGGTTGTTCGTTTTGTTGGCTTCCGGATCTGAAGAGCGTGAAGAGGGTCCAAAATGACTGGTTGAGTTTTGGTGTCCATTTCAACCGAGCCTGTTTTACGGGTCTCGTTTAAGCATAGTGGGTGTGTCCCTTAAAAGACTGGACCCATCTCATTGGTTGCGTCCCTTGCTTGAGGGGAACCCCAGTTTTTCTCTTGCCGTCTACGCCATGGGAAAAAAAAGACAACGCTCTACCGAGCCAAATCAATATGTTTATGTGTTTTGTTTCGGGTTCTATGTGGATGGCTCGGCTTTGGGAGCTTGGACCTCTCATCTCACCTCTTAAAAACACAACTTTTCAACTTGTTGGGTGTTCCATGGGCGATCTGTCTGTGAAAGATGAGAACTTCCCCAGGGCGCAGGGAGTTTTAAGGGCTAAGTCATTTTATCGGGGGCGTTTTTTTTCTTTTTTTTCTCGGGTTTCCCTTTCTGCGCCTTGACGCGCCGCCCGAGGTTCCCCGGGCCTGTGGTGGAAGCCGCTGGCTTAGCTTTGGGGTGGAGGAGTTGCTGTGTGCAAACGGCACGGCGTAAGTCGGGAGGGTCCTCCAGAGGTCAGAGTAAGCTGGTACCCACTTTTTTTTTTTTTTTTTTTTTTTTTTCGGGTTTGTCTATTTTAGTAGGGGCACCGAATCTCCCCCCCAAACAAGGGTAAGCTTCTGAAGGGTTTTGGATTACACCCTGCGATTACACCCTTGGGAACTGGCCCAAGACTGTCTAAAATAACATGATGTTATCCCGGATGTATGCCTAAATGGGGTCATTTCCGTGGGCGTAATCCCAGGGCGTAATTCAAAAAGCCGTAGATAATTTTCTGTCAAAAGGTCAGATGCCGGCCACTTTGAACGACCAGACATGGTTCATTTTGTGGTTTTCCAGGCTGTGTCCTTTTTTTTGGAGTCGGTACTTTTTACATGTTGGGTTTCAGAGGATGTAGGTCCTTTAGCTGGAGATGCCATGTTTATTTGAAACCAGCCTGTTGGGAAGCTGCTGCTTGTCGTTATGAGAGGGCAAGCGATTTGTGAAGGGGCCGTGCTTTTGCCAAGGCGAAGCAGCGAAATGCTCTTCACCGGGTTCCGCATGCTTCCTTTGGGTGGTTGCAACATTGATCTGGGGCCAAACAGATATGGCCAATTCAAAATATCGAAAGTGGATATGCTGCTATGCTGGATATTGCCTTGGGATATTGACTTGATACCGCAGATGAATTGTGCTTCTTTGTGACGTCGAAGGGGACACGTAATCAATCTTGTGAAGCTGTTCTCCGCCGGCCTCGGTGCGTCCAACATGGAGCGAGGTGGTCTGCACTGCCTTTTGGTGCTTGGGTTTTGTTCATTTCTACTTGCCGGTGGGTGGGGGGAGGGGGTGCAAAGAATAGATCCTTTTCGGCTGACGTGCCACTTGGGCAAGCCCCAGCGACACATACTTGGCTCCGCCCTGGCTCAAGCCGCGTCTGTAGACAGACCACCTTCCCTCAAAGGCAAACTGGGAACAAGCTTCGACACTTCACGCTGAGAACTCGCTGAGAACTCGCTGGATCGGATCTGGTTTTCTCGATCCTTTCCGGACACTATCGAAGGAAGCGGATCGATCTGGAGTCATGTGCCTGTGCTTTTCCTGCATCGAGACGGGTTCCGTGGGGGTGGTGCAGAAGTACGGGGAATACACCGGCACGCAGGAGCTCTGATTTCACATGCGCGAGATGCAACAAAACGGTGCTTTGAATTACAGGACTGGATAACCCCACACGCCTAGCTTTTTAAAGTGAGTGTAAGTTGAATGAGTGAGAGTATGTGTAGGTTAGTGTAAGTTGAGTGAGCGAGAGTAAGTATGTGTAAGTTAGTGTAAGTTGAGTGAGCGAGGGTATGTATAAGTTAGTGAGTGTGAGTCGAGTGAGCGGCAGCTCACTCCCCGAGTTCCTGGTTTTAAACTGTTGGGCAGACCATTTTGGTGGACAACCACAAGTTTGGATGTTTTATGCCACTCAGAAAGTGAGGCAACCAAGCCTTTTTCCAGGGCTTGATTCCTTTTCCATTCTTTTCAGCCATCGTTCTTTTCAAAATCCGATCGCCATTTCCCCAGGATGTTTAGTGGTTTTCTAGAAAGAAGCCCTGAAAAGAACGGGGAAGCTACCCCTAGACGTTTGTCATCCAGGAGCCGGGATGCATTTGCTTCTGCTGGCCCTGCAAGACGGTGTCCTCGGTGTCGCTCGCGGTGCAACAGTTGCCCTGCAAGTCGGAGTGCAAGACCAAGGACTGGACACCATTCAGTTTGTTTTGGAGTGGTTGGCAGGGGGGGTTGAGGGTTGAGCGGTTTGGGAGGGGGGCGGCGCCCCAAAAAATTGTGGTTGTCCTTTTGGTTTCCCTTCAAGAACACCACACAAGGGTACCAGGAAAGGACACGGTCATTTGGTATGTGTCAAATAAGGATTTCGACTAGTTGAGTTTCCGTTCAAACTTATCTCAAAAGGGTGCCCCCCCAAGTTCCCAGCCATGCACAATCAAATCCGATTCGAGGCCCCAACCAAATAGGTTCAGCCTTTTGATTCTTTGCATGGACTTGGGCAGACCACTTCGATGCCACTTTGGTGCATCTTGCTTGGATGTTAGGACTTCAACTTTTTGCCAACTAATGGGTTTCCATTAAACCACTAAAAGTTAAACTTTTAGCAGGGGAGCAGAAAGCAACCGAGGCCAGGTTTGGATTCTGCCTTGTTCCAGCCAAAGGCTGATGGACCGGGGATTTTGAATGGTCCTTTGTGACTCCTCGAGCATTCTTGCGGCCATAGTGCAGGGGCCTGGCGAATTCAGCAACGTCACCAGCGGCATCGGAGTGAAGGTTTCTTTCTTGGTCCCCTATTTTTTTGGATGATGATGTATTTTACCTTCCCAGACGCTCCTTGGGGCTTCCAATGGAAGCCCAGACCCTCCATTGGACACCCCAGAGGGGTTTTGGGGTCTCAAAACCTGGATGTTTGAGGGCCCAAAGTCAATCGGGAGCCTCTGGGTTGCCCAAATGAACTCATAGCCTTTCCGGGCTGTCGTGGGTTTCGCAGAAAGCCATCTTCAAACAGGCTGATGTTGACGCTAAAAAGGAGCAAACGGGCAACAAAAAGAATCGGGGGTATCGATGATTGATGGTCTCCTTTCATGGCCTGCGTTTAAGGGCATACATGGGTGTGGCTCAAAATTATACAGGAGGGGCAAACCGCAGGTTTTGGTCCATGTTTCCACTTACCAAGCCATTTTGGGGTTGCCCCCGGCTTTTTGAATTCGCCAGAGCCACACGAGTAGTCCCTTTGCAGCAATCGATCGACTTTTTGTCGGGTTTACATGGAGACCGAAAAAAGTCGCCGGCCCCTTTCCAAGGCTCCGAAGTAGCTTTGTTTTGGTCGGTTTTTTCAGGTCACCTGGTTGCCACTTTGGAAAAGGCGCCTTTTGGGTTGATGGTGTTTTCTTGTTCTTCTTCTTTTTTCGGGGGATGTTGAAGTACTTCTTGGTGGCAAGTATTCGAGCATGTTTTACGCATTCGTAGCCCGCGCTCGCCAAAACCTCGGGGACACGGCAGGTGTGTGGTTTTTTGGGGGAGGGTTCCTTGGTTGATGGCAAGTTTAAAGGGAAAAGGAAACCAACCCATACATGGTTGTTGTTGGGATTTGCATTTTACATTTTCGCTTGTTGTGGTTTTGTGGTTGAAATCCAACCACTTAACTGCTAAAATGTATTTTTTTGCTCCCCTTCCAACGTCAACCAAGCATAGAAGGCGTCGGGAAAATGCGAGCCCAAGCCACGAGGACAACGTCTTAGTGAACGTCTTCACCAAGGTCCAGTATCGCATTCAGAAGCTCGGCGAAAAAGAATCACGCCAAAACGCGTTCACAGATATGGGCGTGCTTTTTTTTTGAGGGCATCCTTTTTGGGGTTGTTTACAGGGAACCAGGAAGCCACCCAGTTTGTTGGTTTCCCTACTTTGAGACATACCCATATCCATGTGTGTGTAATATTTTTGTCAGGGTACCCCTTATGTTGTTGGTTTAAAGGACGGCAAACGGAAATTCCCCTTTACAGGGGCCCTGTTTCATCATGTACTCTTTTCCACCAGCCCAAAATCCTACAAAGGCGTGGCTTGTGCATCCACTACCGATAAGTAAAGTAGTTGTCTTTGGGAGAGCTATTTGTTGAGCCACAGTCCTCGGGAAGGCCTTCTCGCAATGGAACGCTCTCCTTTTCTCACTTCCTGAGTTCTGTTTCGGACTTTAATCACTGTTTGGGTTTGGACATTTTTAGTGGGTACCCAGACGCTCCCGATTCATTTCGGGCCCTGAAACCGCCAGGTTTTGAGACCCCAACACCTATCAGACGTGTCCCACGGAGGGTGTCGATCTTTTGGAAACCCCTGGAGCGTCTGGGGAAACAAGAAGGGCCATACACGTTCAAAGGGCAGTCCTGCGCCTTGTGATATGTAAGGGTCTATCCCTTAGCCTTACTTGCGGGCGCAGAACACGGTCAACCGATGTTGAGGCCATGAAGACGCATCAGCCCCAAGTTGTTGTTGCAAACCTATATGTTGTTGTTTTGCGGAGTCAGAAATTTGAGCGCCCAAACCGATGCCCAGATCGATGCCAAACCGATAACAGCGTGCTTGGTGTACTGCACGTGCTGAAAAGTTGCGACTTTCGAGCAAGAGCTGCCAAAGCATTGGAAAAAAACACACGACACTGACACTATCGGATACCAGGGCATAAGATTGCCAAGGTTGTTCACTTGTTTGTGTGCAGCCCAGTTGTCCCTCCCAGATTTTCGGGGAGGGTTGTTGCTGGATGGCCATGCGGCTTAAAGGGCATCAGGCGCACAAGGAGTGTTGATCGTGTCACAAGTGAACAGCGTATTTTGGGGGCCGGATTCCATTTCCCAGACACCTGACCAATTTGGAACTGCTGCTCTTGGATCAACCTTGATTCTCGATTTTTGGTGAGGTCCCTATTTACCTTGATTGCCATTTTGGAGCCAACCCTTAGTGGATTCCGGCCGCCCGAGAGAAAGGCCGGAGATGGACATGTTGAGACTACTTTGATTGGAACATGTATGGAGAGACTCACAGGTTGTTGAGTGTCAACTGGACACAGGTTAAGGGACACTCCCAGCCATGGCTCAGCCACCTTTTCAATTTGTGCATGGTTTTCGGAATACTTCTTTAGTTCCTCTTGGGCTTTATACTTTTGGGAGTAGTAAATAGAAAGTGCGCCAATCCACGGGAGTATGTGGTACCGAGTTTGATCTTGTGCCTCAAGTTTCTTTTTCCCCGTGTTTGTTGTGTTTTCTCCGCGCCAGGAAAGACATGATCAAGGTGGCCCATTTCGATATCGAGAAGCCCCTCCAACACATTCAGGCCGGTGCGATGTTACGTCTGTCTCAAACGGGGGGGGGGGGGGGGAAGGAACCAACCAGTTGGAGGCGTCCCCAATTTTCAGAAGCACCATATGTACAATGATCAATGATCGACACACCCTTTTACGTTGCATTTTGCATCGATGGTTATTGATAGAATTGTTTAGATAAGTCTAGGTTATGGTCAGGCTTGAAGATGGTGCAGTGCTCGGAACATGAACACGCCCAGCACATCTAAACCATCTTGATGGCTCTGGGGATAAGAGCCACTCTGCGCTCTGAATGGGCCTGATGTTTTTGTTCCCAGTTCTGCATTGCATTCGGGGTTTAGAGGGAAACCAAAAGGGCAACCCGTTTTCGTTTTAGGTTTTAGTGGGCTTTAGTTGGTTGAGTGCTAGTCTCCACTAAACCCACTAAGAGTTTTCCCCACCTTTTGCAGGGGATCAGAACACGGGTTTTGGCATCTTTAATTTGGGGTTGTGGACCTTTTTGCTATAAAAAGCCTTTTGGGCTGCAATGCCCATGTTCTCCAAGAATTGGTTCGGGCAACATGCTGAATGCAGAACGAGGAACGAACACAGTCGAGATCGCAAGCACACGTGACGTTGGAACACGAGGTCACTGAGTCCAAACAGGTTGAGGTTTGGAGAAGCTGAGAACATGCTGTATACCTTCCCCAAAAAACATCCATAACAGGTGCCTGGAAGATATCATTTTCCCTTCCCAGAGGCTCCGATCGGCTTCGGCTTTCCATGGAAGACCCGACCCCATTAGACACCCCGGGAATCGGTGTTTGGGACCCGGTCTCAAAACCTGGCGGTTAAATCGGGCCCTAAAAACAAAAACGGGAGCCTCTGGGTTCAAGGGCAAATGCAGCGTCCATGGCTGGTTTTTGGGAGGGCACCGCTTGTGGCGTGGTAAAAACCCTCCCACCAACTAACATGGTTTGGTGCACAGACCCCCTTTTCAAGAGGACAGGGAAAAAGTCTTCCAGGGGCCTTTTTGCACCAAACCCATGTTAGTTGGGAGGGCATCGCTTGTGGCGTAAAGTCTTCCCAGGCCGAAGTGGACTCGGTGCTGCGGTCCTCCTTGCCTGCGCTGACCTTGGATGAAAGCTACGAGTCCAAGGAGACCTGAAGCGCAACGTTGCCGGCCCCGCCGAAAAGTCTTCTGAGGGTTTTTGTATTACACCCTGGGATTACACGCCTATATATGTTAACGAGCCCTGGCGTTATTCTTGTTCGCTGAGATTCTGAATGCGATACTGCGTTCACTGAGACGTTGTCCTCAACGATGAAGGGTTTGTGTAATAGACCCTGGGATTACACCCTTACATGACCCAGAATGGGTTCAAAATCAACACGGTTTTATCCGGAAATTGGTGCCTAAATGGGGTCAATACCCAGTGGGTGTATTCCCAGGGTGTAATACAAAAACCCTTAGATGTCTGGGGTGACGCTATGTGTCGAAATGGGGAAAACGGGAGCAAAAAGGGTGCAAGAAAGCGATAAAACACAAGCCCAAAAAAGAAGTGAATGGGGTTTGGGGGGCTTCAAAACCACATTTAGCCACGAGCATCGGGTTTGACTTTGCTTTGTCTCACTTCCCGAAATCTTGGACTGAGAAGATTTGGAAGCGTTGGGCCAATCTGTATAGAGGAAGAGAGTTGTTGGCAAGCTTTATTTGGAGTCTCCACAATACCCTCAAACATGAAGCAAACCAAAAGGAGGCAAACAAGGAACAGGTTCGGGCAAATACATACAAAGTTTTTTGGGTCTATTGTTCATTTAGCGTGGGGCATGGGGAGGAGCTCCAAATTTCAGCCACAAAACTCCAGGGGGCCCTGAATTTCCCATGTTATTTCTGTAACTAGAGGTCAGCTTGATCTTGGTGGCTCCCAGCCATCCCCTTAGCCTTTTAGCTTTTTAGTGTTTAGCGGTAGTTTCCATTTAACCCACTAAAAGTTCAACTTTCAGCGGGGGATCTGAGGGCAGCCCAGTGATCCATTCTCAAGCCAATGCCTAATTACCTTGCTGGTGCGATCGGGAAGGATGGAGTCCAGGTTTTGGGAACGAACCGGATCCGGGGTGTCTCTAGGGAACCAAATCGGGGATGGTAATCGGGGTCATTCCATTTGGCCATGGGTTGCATAACCTATGAACATCCATTTGCCACCTTTGATGTTCACCATTCCTGGGTTTTGGCCCGCAGCCATTGGTCATTTTCCCGCCTATCGAACCCCGGACGTCTGCCTGCCTTGGGTTGTCCTTCAAGTGAGGCATCCCCTCTTGACAACTGGCTCCCAAATCAGCCAGTCGATCTCGCTATGCTGTTTTACTTCGGGATTCCTTTCTTCTCGGAATTCCATGGTTGCTGTTGGGTAACATTTTTCATGTTTGCTTATTGTGGTTGTGTGGTTGAAATCCCCACTTAACTGCTAAGATTGAACATTTTGCTCCCCTTCCAACGTGAACCAAGATTCATTCTTGGAAGAATTGCGGCAGAGAGTATGGAGGATTGGCCAAGCCTCCATACGGTTTCCCTGGGCGTAATTGATCCCCCAACAAACCTGGGCTGACTGAGGTTTATTGGGTCCCGAAGCGTTGGCTCGGAAGGAAGTGAGAAAACTCTTGGGGTGGCTCATAGGGTGTCTTTCTTGGGTCGGGGTAATTAGCCGGCAGCAGGCCGTTCTGCCCACGATTCCGAGGGATGTTTTTCAGAAATGGATCCCAATCAACGGGTGGTTTCTTCCTCACAAAGTGTAAAACAAATGGTAGACAGTGTCCTTGTCTGGATCCCTGATCCCTCGAATTTGGGACCCCCCCCCCCAAACACACGGTTTTAAACCCGAGTCTTAAAACTGAACAAAGCCTGGGACCAGTTGGGGGAGTTGGGCCCATTGCAAGCTGCTAACAGTTCTGTTCACTTCCCGAGTTCCTGGTTCCTGGACTTTCGCCACTTTTGGGTTTGGTTGCCATTTTGGGGCTCCCAGAGGCTCCAATTCGATGGATTTTGGGCCTAACGGCCAGGTTTTGAGACCCCAGCATTTCAATGGAGGGTCTGGGTCTTCCATCGAAACAGGAGCCTTTGGGTGGTAGAAAAATGAGCAGCTCATGGGTTTGGTGGTTTCCTCTTCCATCTAAGGCAAGGGGGCCAGGGGGCCGAGATCGGCACAAATGCTACCCCCCCCCCCCCCCAGCTAGCATGGTTTGGTGCACAGGCCCCTGTAGAAAGACTGGCCTTTCCTCCTGGTGAGTTGGCCTTTTTGCACCAAACCCACGGTGAGCCGGCGGGGGTGGTCTCTCGCCGACGGTTTTTTTGGGGCCATCCTTCGATACGTCCGCTCGGTCCGCTGGATGAGGGTCCACTGGGTCCGACGCTTAAGGAGCGGTTGGTCATTGAGATCCTGGAGTCCGTGAGGCCGGCCATGGGGCCCTATGGCTATGAGATCATCAACGTGCTCATCACCGACGCTTCGCTTGGGAAGTGAGAAGCTCCTCTTATGGGCATGGGTCAATTAGCCCGAGCCCCCAGTGAACATCCCAATCCAACCACTGAAATAGGTTCTAAAATGGGTGGTGCACCTACCCCAAAATGGGATGCCATTGGTTTTGACCCACAGCCTCAACTGGCTCCCATCCCTCCCCCCAAGGTGCCCTTTCACCAACTTTTTTTGGGGGAGGGTTCCCCTACTAAGATAGACTACAGAAAACAGGGTACCCCTATTCTATCCTCTTTGCTGGAGGGCCTAGTCAAACGAACGTTTTGGTTTTTCTGTTCTTGCTGCGCGTCGTCGAAATAAATATGGATATATGATATGGTCGGGTCTGGAAATTGGGGGGGAACCCCCCCCAAAATGGTGACGGTGTTCCTTTTGGTTTGCCTATAAAGCAACAAGGTAAAAAGGGGCACCCGAACAAAAAGACACACCCAGCCCATATGGCTGTGGGTGGAAGGCGAATTCACCACCCATTTTAGGACCTATTTTAGTGGGGATTGCGATGGTCACTGGGGGTACGGGCTTTTGACCCATGGCCATATCTTTCCTTTCACACCTGCAGTTGAAGTTCAGTCCTCAGCTTCACTGGATCATGTGCTTGTTTTGATTCTTTGGTTTCTGTTCATGTTTAGGCTGCAAGAAATTCAAGTTTGCAAGCCCATACCAAGGGTGTTAGATAAATGTTGTCAGCCCTGTTCTACCTGAGAGGGAAGGTGCCAAGAAGGGAAACATGTGCTGTCAGATTCCAGAACTTCGTGTTTGTCCCTAGGTCCCCTCAGTAGTGCCCTTTTAACCTTTTCTTTTTTTTGGGGGGGGGGGAGGGTTCCCCTACTAAAGTAGGCTACAGAAAAAAGGGTACCCTTATTCTAACCTCTTTACTGGAGGACCTAGGTCCGATAAGAAGTGGTCAACTTCTCATGCGCTGTTGGCCGGGCCTCGAAAAGCGATGCGGTGTTTGGGCTATTGCAAGGATGTGTTCCCGGAGCAGCGGGTGATGGCGGCCATGAACGAAATCAACGCGTCCAGGACGAGATGCCGCGAGTGCCGTTGGTTTCGGCCCAAGACAGGTCCGCCAGTTTTCATGCTGCCCAGATGCTCCTGGGGCTTTCAATGGAAGACCCGACCCCTCCATTAGACACCCGGAGGTGTTTGGTGGTCTCAAAACCACGCTGTTTGAGGGCCCTAAACACATTGGGAGCCTCTGGGTGTGGTGAGTAGGGAATGACCGAGTCTCGGTGTTGAGAATGCACCGGAGCGGAACATTCCCTCAAAGGTCATTCCCTGCCTATCGAACCAGCAAGCTTTTGTATCTCAAGTCTTTAAATCCGGGGTGAGAGCTCCATCTCGGAACTTAGCGGCGTTTCCCGGCAGAAATTGAAAAACCATAATTCGCCACAGGAGGAAGCGGGAGGCCGCGTACGAGAAGGGCGAAGCAGAGAAGTGCCTGAAGACGCCTGACGCAAAGTGAGGTGTCCCTGAATTGCTGGGTTTGGATTTGAAGCCCTGGATGTTGTGGAGGGATAGGAAGCCACACCCTAACCACCGGGCTCCAAACCAGCCGACTTTCTTCGATTTTTCACTGGACGTGAATAGGTTAGATCACTCGGGTCTGGATCAGGTGGGGTAAACGAGAACGCTGATAAGGTGAAGAAGAAGAATGCTGATAAGGTATCCATTCATTTGGAAGATTAGTATACTGTTTGCCCGACCAAACACCCAAGCAACCAACCATCCAACTTTTCCACCTTGCAACTCTACCAACTTTACCAACTTTACCAGCTTGCTGAAACGGCGACACCGAATTGAACCCGCTTGCTAGGTTGGCGGTAACATGATGTCCATGGTTTCCGGGCAAAAACATGTTCTTCCATTTGCTTAAGACTATTTTGTTAATTTAGAAGGAATCACTACTGGAAATATGCTTTATTTTTCCCAGTGGTCTTAACCAAATGCAAGTGGTGTTGTTCATTTCACGGGCCACTTCAGGGGATTGGCATTCTCAGCTCTGCTCACAGGTTGAAACCAAAAGGACAGCCACCATTTTCGGGATGTACCCTCCCACCTAACATGGAAGTGCAAAAATGCCCTTTCCAAGTGGTGGGAGGGTATTGGGTAGCCCTTTCTGGTGGTTGTTAAAGGGAAACCACTCGCAGGGAAAAGCACAAATGCTAATCCTGTGGAATGGCCCGAATCCTGCACCACTTTGAAAATACGGTTGAAACCATTGTTGGTTGGTATTTACAGGATAATGATTGGGGTTCTTTCCCGGTGGTTTTCTCGCTTCTCCAGCCACAGAACTGGACCCGAAAACCAAAGACGAGCTGCCCGTTTCCTGGGGTCATTCCCCAGCTCCGATCGGCGAGAGGGCTGCCAAGGCCCAGACCTCCATTGGACCAGAGGGGTTTCGGGGTTGAGTGTGTCTCAACACCTGGCCCTTAGGCCCAAAATCCATCGGGGTAGTGGCACGTCTCAAGATCCAGACCCTCCACTGGAAAATTCAGAAAGGTTTTTGGGGTCTCAAAACCTGGCCGTTAGGCCCAAAATCCCATCGAATTGGACACCCCTGGGCCCCTGGGTAGTGGCACTCAGGATCAAGATGGCGGAGGCGGACGCGGAGTCGAAGCGCCTCTCGGGGGTGGGGATGGCCAACATGCGCGCAGCCATGGCACAGGGCTATCAGGACGGGCTGTTCGAGTGATCGAGTGATCGACTTCGGTGCGGTGGGCCATGGTTGTCCTGCCATCTGAATTGGAACGCTTTCCCCAATTACTCTAGTTCTAGACTGGTTATCATGGTTGTTGTTGGGATTTGCATTTCTGAATCATTTTTGATTATTGTGGTTTCGTGGTTGAAATCTAACCACTCAACTGCTAAAAATTGAGGATTTTTGCTCCCCTTCCAACGTCAACCAAGGGGCCGAGGGCGGAGAGCTTGAAAGGACGAGGGAACGCGGGACGTTTTTTCCGCCACCCCCCCTCCCACTGCTTTGGACTTTGGACGTGGCAAAAGGCAGTTGTTGGGGCTTAGTTCCTGAGCTCGTGGCCTGCATGCAGTTAAAGACCATTTTGGTGCTAGGTCCCCCAGTAGTGCCCTTTCTCTCCCCTTTTTTGGTCGGGAGGGTTCCGCTAGTAAAGTAGACTACAGAAAAGAACATCGGGTACCCTTAGTCTAACCTCTCTACTGGAGGACCTAGGGTGGTAGATGTGGACTTGTTTTGGCCCATCCACTCAGGAAGTGAGTTGCCCACTTAAAACCCAATGGCTTCAACACATGCGCTCGAGAAGAGATCCGATTTTTCGCTGCCGAGAGTCTTGAGCAATTCCAAACTCTGCGGCGGAAATGAAGAAATCTGAGTTGTTTCTAGACTGATCGGCAAATTGTATGGGGGGGTCATAGCTTTGTTTCGTAGATGTTGAGGCAATCCAACACACTTAGAGTAAACAAAGGAGGTCTGAGACGTGTCCGAAACCAGTCTAATATCAGCTAATTGCGGGAACATGCATAGTGGCCTACTCTAGCCAGCCAGCATACAGCTAAAGACGGGATAGTTGGCTTCTGCTTTTGGACCGCGTGGTTCGTTCAAGCAGAAGCACAGTGGTGGGTTCAGACTGGGCTCAGACCGCTTTTGTGAGCAAGCTGATGATCTTCATGCGCCCAATTGTTGGCAGCTGGGAGGTGCCCGGGTGCCCCTTTCTGGTTGAACATGTGTAACGTTGGTAGATGTGGCCGTGGGTCAACACTACCGGGATCCCATTTTGGGGTAGGTGCACCACTCATTTTAGAGCCTATTTTAGTGGTTGGATTGGGATGTTCAATGATGTTCACTGGTTTTGACCCATAGCCATGTCTACTGTAGACCATGGTTGAGCACAAATCTGATTTTGGGGGTTGGGAAATTGATTTGCCGGCCAAGCCAGGGTCTCGTTTCGTGCTTACGATTTCTAAACACACTCGACGCCCGTAGTGTGCTTTCAGCTTTCCCTTGGAAACCAGCCAAGAAGGCTTCCAACCATTGTGTGTGTGTGTGTCTTTTTAGGGGACCCTCAAAAGGTTTCAGTTGGATGTTCTTTGAAAACCACGAAAAGAAAGGGTATCACACACACCCACATGTTGCATGGTCAAAGCAAGGCATACACCCCCTAGCAACATGTGGACAATCATGAGGAGTCTTGCGGACGCCATGCCCACACATAAGAAGCTTGGCCATGGCCTATATGTATATATATATATATTGTTCGACTAACCCCCAAGGAAATTGGACCAGGTTGTTAAAACCCATGTCCATTTCTTTCATATGGGGATGAGCATCAAAAAACAATTATTTTGGGGATCAACAACAACATATTTAGGGGATCAAAAACAAATTATTGAGACCTATCTCCTGGTTCACTGGTTCCCTGGTCCTGGTCTCCTGGTCCCCATGTCTTCTGGTCTTGGTCCCCTGGTCTCCTGGTCTCCTGGTCTCCTGGTCTCTTAGTCTCCTGGTCTGCTGGTCTCCTGGCCTGCTCTCCTACCCGAAGCCGACCCTAAACCAAACTACACCCACCCTAAACCAACCCAAAACCAACCTACAAACCAACCTTGAAACCGACCCTGCGCAACTTTTAAACCAACCCTAAACCCGCCCTAAACCAACCCAAAACCAATCCTAAACCCACCCTAAACCTACCCTAAACCTACCCTAAGCCAACCTAAAACCACCCTAAACCCAACCTAAATCTACCCTAAATCCACCCACCGTAAACAAACCCCAAACCCTCCCAAAAACCCACCCTTTTAAACCCACCCTAAACAGACCCTAAACTAAACCTAAAACCACCCTAAACCAATCCTAAACCAACCCTAAACCAACCCCAAACCCACCCGACACCCAACCAAAATTAACCCTAAACCAACCTTGAAACCAACCCTACACAACCTTAAGCCAACCCTAAACCAACCCTAAACCAACCCTAAACCTGCCCTAACCCTACCCTATACTTACCCTAAACCACGGTAAGCTTAGCCTAAACCATCCCTTAACCCAACCCTGAACCAACCCTAAGCCAACCCTAAACCACCCCTAAACCCACCCTAAACCCACCCTAAACCAACCCTAAGCCCACCCTAAACCCACACTAAACCTACCCTAAACCAACCTTAAACAAAACGTAAACCGGCACTAAACCCAGCCTAAGCCCATCAACCCTAAACCCACCCTAAACCCTAAACCAACCCTAAACCCACCCTGAAACCAACCCTAAACCCACCATGAACCTACCCGAAGCCAACCTAGAACCACCCTAAACCCAACCTAAACCAACCCTAAACCAACCTAAGCCAACCCCAAACCCACCCGAAACCCAAACAAAATTAACCCTAAACCAACCTTGAAACCAACCCTACACAACCTTGAGCCAACCCTAAACCCAGCCTAAACCAACCCTAAACCAACCCTAAACCTGCCCTGACCCTGCCCTACACTTACCCTAAACCACCATAAGCTTAGCCTAAACCATCCCTGAACCCAACCCTAAACCAACCCAAAGCCAACCCTAAACCACCACTAAACCCACCCTAAACCCACCCTAATCCCACGTGGGTTCAGGCTTGGTTTAGGGACGGTTTAGGGTTTGTGTACGGTGGGTGGGTTTAGGGTGGTTTTAGGTTGGCTTCGGGTAGGTTTAGGGTTGGTTTGCGGGTTTACCCTAAACAGACCCGAAGCCAAACCTACACCCACCCTAAACCAATCCTAAGCCAACCCCAAACCAACCTAAACCAACCCAAACCCACCCTACAGGCATTTAACCGATGCTTCATTCGTTGATAGAACTGCGCTTGTATCTGCAAAGTTGTGATTTTCGAACTGGAGCTGCCAAAGTGACCTTCGCGTACTGCGCTTGTATTGGAAAGTGTCTATTTTTCAGCTGGAGCCGTAAAATGCGCGCACTGTTGCCCGAAAATGATGTAAATTACAGGGTTTTGGCACCCCCAGGCGAGATAATTTGTTTTTGATCTGTAAATAATTTGTTTTTGATCCGGGTGTCGATAATTTCTTTTTGATCCCGTAAACAATTTTTGTTTGATCCTCCACCCTTTCATATGCTTAAGGAATATGTTTTCCATTTTCCCCTGGCTGGTTTTGAAGGAATTCGATTTCACTACTGGACATTGTCTCATTTGTTCAAGGGCGCGGTTATCTACTGCCTAGCCCAGAAAAGGAAATCGGGTACCCTTATTCTAACCTCTCAAATCTGGAGGACCTAGTGTGGCAACCCGTCCACACCCCGAAAATGGGCGGGTTCCTTTGGACCTCGCGATGTTGAACACACCAGAAGGGTAGTATATACTAGTGCCCTCAAAACAGACACACACATACGGGAAACCTGCCCCACCCTTTTTGGATGAAAGGGGTAACTAGTTGATTGCTTTTGCTTAGAGTACGTGGATCTACTGCCAAGCGTCCGAGTCTGTTTGAGAGGACTCCATGAAGCCGCCTGGCACAGACATCTGCTCGGGGGGGTGGGGGAGCGGGGGGGGGGGCATTGGGCCGGGAGGTGTCAACCGGGAGGTGAGGGAGGGTCTCGGTGCATGTTTTAAGCAAAGCCCTGGGCCCTTGAAAGAAACTAGAAGGATGTTGGTTGAACACTTTAAGCTTGCAAATGTGACTAAGAGTTTGATTTAGTTTTCCCCTGTTGGTTTTAGGGGGAACCGACCTCTACTGGAAATATGGTTGTTTCTCCAGGGGGCTTGAGCAAATGGAAGTAAGCAAAGCCCTGGTCCCGTTGAAGAAACTATAAGGCTGCTGGTTGAACAATGCTCATAACGAACCCAAAACAGCCATGTCTGGGGGAAACTCCTTTGGGTGGAAGGACCTGGACAAGAGGTGAACTACATGGAGGAGAGTTGGAACGACTACGACTATGACAACAATTGAAAATTGGAATGACAACAGCTACGAAGACACAGCAAACTACATTGGAGGAATCAACGAGTCACACCTCACCATTGGGCACATGAGACAACCAAAGTCACCACAGGATGTGTGTCATGTGTTTCTCACCATGGGTAATGAACCCCAAGGTTCATGACGGAGACCGGCATGAATGAGAAGGACGGAAACGTCGCCGAGCCGGGGTAGGTTCCCACAGAGCCATGGGCGCAGTAGAGCTTTACCAATAAACTAGGGGTTCATGGGGGGCTCATTGTTTGGGTTCCATACATTCTGCCTTTGAATGAAATGCAGATGCCATTTCCGAACGCAGTGGAGTTTTTACCGATCTAGGGTCTTTACAGGCTTCATTTGTGGGCTACATTCTGCCTTAGTGCAGATTGCAAAAGGCAAGAACAGAATAAAAGGGTACCCAAAAATACCTCAGTTTCCTAGTTTCTGGACTTTGTATTTGACAATTTTTCGTAAAATGCACGAGGCTTCCGACTTCACCCATGTTCAAGGGTCTACTTTCTTGGGTTTTCATCCCCAGGCTTTCGACAAAGCCGGCTCATTTCCTGAGCTGATTCGCCCGGAAAGAACAACACTTTTTATTTTCCACCTTTGCAGGTTGAACTTTGGAGGATGGAGCTTTGAGAAGCAATCAACTTGACAACCCTCCGGAACCGTTTGGGCCTATCGACCACATCCATAGCTTTCAGCTGCGGGGGTTTCACAACCACCGAGGAAAGTACAGCTGAGACGGGACGGGACTGGGGACCGTTTTTCGCAGGAAGCCATGCACATGATGATCATGACGCAGTACTTGGATACCTTGAAAGAGTTCGCGGGCTCCCATGGCTCCATCATCGTGCCCCACGGCCCCCACGCCGCCACTCGAAGTAACCCTTGAGTCGGCGAAATTCTCAAAAGGGGAGGGAACCCGAACGGGTGTATTCCATGTGGTTTCCCTTAAAATATCACCAAGGCCTGCATTTCCGGATTCAGGCCTCCCTCCATGTCCCTTTTTCGGGGCCACAACCAATACTCGTGCAGGGGAGATTCGGTTTGTCCTCTAAAGCCGATGTTGAGATGGTTTCCCTCTGGAGACTGGGCTCTTTGAGGGCCCAATTTTTCCATCGGGAGCGTCTGGGTAACTTTTTTTTTCTGCGCAGCAACACCACCGTGGCCGCGGTCACCGTGCTCGCACGCACACTCCACCGCTCACGTGGAAGCTTGCGAAGACTCCCGTCACCTCAACGTTGCGGGCGCCTGCGGAGGGACCCACAACGACCACGCAGAGGTCAAGCAGGAGTGGTGCGGGCCGACGCCTTCAAAAGAACCGCTTAGAGACAGGGGGTACACACACACCACACACATTTGTTGGTTTCCCCGGTAGTGCCCTTTCCCCTTTTTGGGGGGAGGGTTCCCCTACTAAAGTAGACTACCCCCTTCTTCTAACCTCTCTACTGGAGGACCTAGCATTTGTTGGTTAAGGTAGACTTAGACTGAAGCTCAGCAGGACCCCTTTGGAAAGAGCCGCGTGTGCTGAAGTCTACCTTGCAGCAAGCGATTATGAGGAAACCTCCTCCCCCCCAAACCAAAAGTTTGTTCAAAAGTTTGTGAGTGTCTAGTGGGTTCTGTAAAACCAATGCACAACCCGCCCCTCCGCATAGCGAGCCCACAGTGAAACCATACTTGACGGTTTGTGGACGAAGCAGGGCATTCCTCATGCTTGTAGGGGCCCCCAAAATTGCTGGTCACCAATCAAAACGGGGTACCCTAAGAAAAACGACATAGGCACATGCGCCCTGAAATCGTTGCTATACCTCTCAGGGCCCACAATTGCTCCGAGGTGAAAGATCTGAGCTCGCAGATCCGAGAAGGTATGCTTTCGGCAGCGCCCCAGCAAAAGATGGCCAAGGCGCGGAAACAGGCCTTTTCACATCTGACGTCGCCTCGGAAGATCAAAGAACCCCCCTTTCTTATTTGACCTTGGGGTTCTAGCCAAACATGGCCTCACTGTCCTAGTTTCTCAGGAGGGAGTTGACAGGAAGTACTTCTACCGCTATGTTAGAAAGACGTATCAAATTTACTGGGTCCCCCAGTAGTGCCCTTTCTCTCCTCCTTTTTTTTGGTTGGGAGGGTTCCCCGACTAAAATAGACTACAGAAGAAAGGGTACCCTTATTCGAACCTCTCTACTGGAGGACCTAGTTTATATTGCTCTGACCTTACTTTGCAGAGGGTGGCCAAGTTGAAGGGGCCTCGACGAACTTTCCCTATTTGAAAGGCAAAGGAGGTTGGCGAGGTTTTGTGTGAGGTTTGTTGCAGACAGATTTGGGTTGCCTCCAAGGCACTCCTCCATGGTGCGTGAAACATGTTTTATTTGGCTGCCTTCGGTCCTTGGATTGCAATCCCCCCCAAAAAATATGGCATTCTTCTTGAACAAAAGGACACCCCGGAAATGAACAAAACGACACACCGAAAGGGGACACTTCCCCACACAAAAAGACACCCCCCCACATGGGAACCCCTGCTGCCCCTTTCTTTGGCTTCTGGCGGGCGCTCTCGGCCGACAGTCTCCTTGCGCCAGGGTGCCGGCTGCGGCGTGTGAGCCGAGCCGACCGAGCCGATGATCCGAGCCAGAGCGAAGTCCATCTTTTCGGTGTACCGTGGGTTTTTTACCACATACCTAGACCCACCTTGCAATTTGTTTTACCCATCGCGCGGTTACCTCCCTCAAGCTACCTTGAAGAATCGGGAGGCATCATCCACAGTGGCGCAACATATTCCATTTTTGCAGGTATCTTGAGGCTCCAAGCACTTCTCTTCGAACTGGTTATGGTTTCTGTGTTTCTTTCGCTTTTCTTTGCTTTGGCTCTCCAAATTTCACTGGCCGTGACCACCGCAGGCCATGGGCAGAGTCCCGCCGGGGGGATAACCACGTCCCGCCGAGAAAAAGTCGCCAGGATGAAGATCGACCTGGGAAAACGTGTTTGGCCAGCTCGTGCGTCCGGGTTCTCAAAGGTTGGTTTGCCTCAAACTATGGCTAGGTCCCCCAGCTAGGTGCCCTTTCTCACTTTTGTTTTTCTTCGGGGGAGGTTTTCCCCTACTAAAGTAGACTACAGAACAAAGTTGGTACCCTTATTCTAACCTCTCAAATCTGGAGGACCTAGTGTGGCAACCCGTCAAAACCTCGAAAATGGGTGGGTTCCTTTGGATCTCGCGATGTTGAACACACCAGAAGGGTAGTATATACTAGTGCCCTCAAAACAGTCACACACATACGGGAAACCTGCCCCACCCTTTTTGGATGAAAGGGGTAATTAGTTGATTGCTTTTGCTAAGAGTACGTAGTTGCTGAATCAAAGACCATTAGCAGATATCTTTTTCCACTCTTAAAGGCACTGAAAAAGCACTATGTTGGCCTTTCCTGTCCTCTTCTAGCACTCTGATAAACTTAAACGAGCCTTCCGCCAACGTAACTGAACATGTACATGGAGTCTCCATGACCCTTAAACAATTAAGGGTCCATGCCCCCTTAATTTTGGGTAATGACCCCATGTTTTTAGGGTCATGGAGGTACTCCAGGTACTCCAATGGTTGTTTCCTTCTTTTTTTGGGGGGGTAGAAGGTAGAAGCGTAGTCTGTAGAACCCCATTCTGCGCGTGCTCCTTTCAGCAGCCCCGGCAGTCAATGAACCGGCGCTCCTTTCTTCGGGCTCGCGAAGGGCGTTCAAGCCCTGACCCCGGCCAGTGATTTTTTTGGGTTGTCTACCCTGCCGTGGCGCCCGTGGTTCTTTGCTTTGGGAGAGGGTTGCGATTCCTTTAAACTCAACCAAAAAAGGGATGGACATCCACGCATCTGAGTCTATTTGGGCATCCGGTTTTTGTTCGGCAACCATCGATTCAAACCACGAAAACCACCCAAGCATCGATCGCTCAGATCGCCTCGGAGATCGTGGTGATTCTGGCGCACTGCTTTTTCGCCCAAAGCCCGGTTCGGGGTTCGGGGTTCGGACGCGGAAGGTCCGGGTCCGGAGCTTCTTACATGGTTGTTGTTGGGATTTACATGTTACAATTTTGCTTATTGTGGTTTAGTGGTTGAAATCCGAGCACTTGACTGCTAAACTTGTATTTTGTTTGCTCCCGTTCCAACGTCAACCAAGCTTACGCCCGGAGCTCGAGTGGACTTTTGGTGAACAGGAGTGAGGTGCTTTAAAGAACCACCTGGACCCAACTTGGGGTCAGTACCAAATCGCCACCAGCTCATTTCGAGGATCCCATTAAGAATGGAACACCTCAAAGTGTTGGGGGCCAATCTCAGAGTTTAGAGATGTTTTGAGGCTAGTTTGAGCCTAGACCCGCCTTACCAAAGGACAACGCGAAGCCAAGCATGCTCCTTTGCCTGAGTCCCCGATAGGAAATGAAGATCCCGCGGGAAGCCCCCGCAAAACGACCGACAGCTGCCCTTTCCCGAGAGTCCAGTCAAGAAATTCGGGAATCCCGCATGGCACTGGGGGGATCCTTGGCACCAGCAAGTAGATGTGAAGGGGAGTAAACCCCGGAAAGGAACAACTCCAAAAAGTTGCTGTGCAGTACACCCCAGAAAGGGGGCTTATACTTGGCGGCTGCCAGCCATCCAGTTCCTTAGCTTTTTGGATCCTTTTAGTGTTTAGTGGTAGTTTCCGCTAAATGGTTATTCACTTTTCGCGGGGGATCTGGAAAACGGGCAGCCCTGGCTTATATCTCCCCCGTTTTTTGGGCGAACTTCCTCCGCCTTTGAGTCGCGTTTCGCGGTTTCGCCGCCGAGTCGAAAGGGGGGGGGGTTAAGGGGGAGTAAACCCCATGAAGGTTTTTTTTGGGGGGGTTTCATTACAACTCCCCTTTTTTGAGCACCGATCGCCTCGGATCCATGGCCCTTTTTTCCCTTTCGGACGATCGCAGAGCCGACGGTGTCGCGCGCCCAGTCGCTGCTGGCGCTGCGCTCCATCTTCTCGGCGCTGGTGTTCCAGCGCCTCACCCTGAAGGCCATGGCCATGCCCCAGGCGACGGGTCGGCGGCGCCTCGATCGGAACCTCCGGAGCGATGTATTTGGGGGATGTGTGCGTGGGTTTTAACCAGGGCTCCGAAAAAAAAAAGAAGAAAAGAAGATCTCCATTTTGCCCATCCATTTGAAACATGTGGCTTTTTCAACACCAAAAGAAAGTTGGAAACCACCATTGACCAGTTGCAATGTTCGATCGGTGTTTTTCATGCATCCGGATCCCTGTTCTCCTTTCCGGGCGCCCGTTTTGGTTTTGGGTTGGAACCCAGAGGCTCCCGATGGATTGTTTTCGGGCCCGATTGAACCGCCAGGCTTTGAGACCGGGTCCCAAACACCGATTCCCGGGCTGTCTACTGGAGTCGTCGGGTCTTTCATAAGCCGAAGCCAGGAGATTGCGGGTGGGTTGGGAAGAGGAAAAGTGAAAAGGACAAATCCGAAGCCATTTGGAAAGTGGCATCTAAGAAGAGACCCAAGAAAGAAACAGAGACCCGTCCTATTTTTAGCGGCGCCTAGGACAGTGAAGGATTCCTTCCCACTAGAGGACACATCCGCAAACATCAACCAGGGGTCTATGAATCCAGGTTCCCACAGAAATGGCCCCAGGATGGTGACTTCACCTGTGGGGAGGGAGAACATATAGGACCCGGGCTAGCAGGGAGCAAAAGTAGCCTGCTGGCCGGCCCGGGTCCAACTCGACTGAATTTCAGGCTTGGTGACAGATGTTGTTTGTTTCCAATTACGCAAGATCTGAAGAAACCAAATCAATCAACGGGTTCAGCTTGCATGAAACAAACAAGTGTGTTTTTGCATCCAAAAGGATAATGCCCCTTTACCCACAGAAAGGGAACTGTGCCATCTCCAAACGGGTTTAATGAACCTGGGACAAACACGTTGTTTGTTTTTCTTCTTCTTTTCTCCGCATCCAAGGGAACCCATTTGTTAGAACCCCAACGAGCAACCCAGCACACGTCCCCCCCCCCCTTCGCCAGGCCCTGAGCAGGGTGGAGCGCTGGATCTGCCCAAGCGAGAGCGGGTGAGCCACACGTCGCTTTTTGTTACCGTCCGAGTCTCGAGACGCGGGGGCGTCTTTTGTTTGTTTCCTTTTTTGGTGTTTGTCATTTATTGAATGGTTTGTTTCCCTGGTTTGACCTTCGCACTTCAAAAGGAGCTTAGTTCTTAAGTGGGTTGTTTTCTTTGATTGATGTTCACTTGGGAAGCGATTGCATGCATTCCCGTCAAGAACCCCACGGTTTTTCAGTGTTTTGGGGATATAGCCCACATGGAAATCCTGGTGCGGCTTGGACGCAGTCCATTTTTTTCTTTGGCCCAGAAAAAAGATGACCAGTAAGTTGGTACTGGTGCAGTGTTCAGGTGTCCCTTACCTTTTTTGAGCAACCATGGTGCTACTCTTCTGCCAAGTATTTCGATCTGTTTACTTCCGCCTTATTTTTTTTGTTTGATACAACACACTTCTCTCACTCCCTCGGCTTCTTGAAACTGTTTGGGTTTGGACCATTTTGGTAAACCAAAAACCGTTTGGAGGTTCGAAACTCTTGGTCGAGCCACTCAAAAGCAGGTGTCCCTTGCTTGCCAACTCGCATGTTGCCGGCCCCCCCCCCCGCGTTTGACGACGTCTAAACATGCTTTTGCGTCTCGGGCGCAGACACCCGGCGCCTGAAGTCCCACAGACACCTCGCGACCTCATGAGAAAGCTTATGGCAACACTCCCCAAAGGTAAAGTCGTAACAAGGCATTTTTCAGCCAAACATTCGGCGGACGGACGAACTCCATTTCGCACCACCCAAGAAACCCTGGGATGATGATTCCCCAACGTAAATATCAATTAACAATGGTTTCAGCCATGATTTCTCAGTGGTGCGACATGGATTTCGTCCACCCGCAGTATTTGCAGACTCTTTGAAAACCTTATGGGAAATATTTGGGGGGTTCTTTGTTTCAGCGGACCCAACATGGCGTCGAAGTTTTCCTGGCGTCCCTTTAACACCCACCAAAGAGGGGTACCAACTCCACAAAAAACAGACGCCTGATGTCTGCTGCCCAATCTTCAGTCATGTAAAGCTTCCTGGTTGAGAAGATCCATGGTTTGACTTCTGCATTTTCAGTCGGAGAAACCAAGCCCACACTTTTCCCTGTCCACTTTGCACCACTTTCCAGACAGAAACCGCCCGCGCCAGGGTCTACTGGGACGCGCATCGCCAGCGTCTCTGCTTCGCCACCCTCAACAAGTCTCAGAGGCTCCGAATTCGGGGCATCGAGCGCGGCGATCAAAGGGGCGATGGATTGGGTACGTCTGGTAAGTGGTGAGTAAGCCTGCTGACAAAAGCCATGGTTCCTTTTTACCCACCTAATAAGTAGTCTCCGTTCTGTGGGTTATGGCCTGCCTTTGTAACCACTTACTCAGTACCTGATCGCCCCTTTAAGAAGGTTTTCCCCTGGTGTCGAAACCCTCGGACAGAAAAGAATCCGGGCAATCCACACCGCGGCCAGGATGATTTATGCCTTTTTCCTCCACCTGCGAGGGAACCCATTTCAAAAGAAACGAAAAGG